TATCTCCACTTGCTTCTTATCTGCATTTAACATATAAGATAATTGACTAATATGCTAATATGTCCTTTGGGCATGCTAGCACAGGGGTCACAGCAGTCATAGTTTGGAATCTCTTGAACTTTTAGTGTTCCATGACTAACAGAGGACCAGAGCACTGATGTGATTTACAAACATAGCTGTTTGAACATGTGTTTCTTGGTAACATCATTCTCATGAAACTGGGAGTTTTCTAGTTGAATCTCCAACTTTAAGAGCTATTCCAGGCTACTTTTTCAAACAGAGTGGATTATGAGCTGTGAGTTGAATCAAATGCAGCATTAACCTTGTTTAATTAGTCTTTAATCAACTGCCACTGGAACACTGTGGCACTATTTTAAGTGGACCCTTGAATTCATTAAACCTTCAACATTTCTAACAAACTGCTGTGGCAGTGGATGTGGATTGGAGACGGGCATCTGAACCACCTCAAATCGCTCCTTTTAATGTGGGCGGAGTAGCAGCTCTACTCTGAGCCCCTCATGAACGACTGAACTTCTCGCCCTTTCTCTAAAGGCCAACCACCCTTCAGAGAAATCTAATTTCTGCTGCTTGTATCCATAATCTTATTCTTTCGATCACTACCCCACATAGCAGACAGGTCTGGCCCGGATCTGGTGTTAAGCCGGCACTGCTGGCTGACGTCTGGCATGGCAAGTGGTATGTCATTCCAATATGGGCCAGGCCTGGCGTAGATGGCACTGTTTATATGATGGCATGCCACATCTGGCCCGATTGTGGATTGGTTTATCTGGCCAAGGCTCATAGAAAACAGGTCTGGCCTGTAAGCTGGCACTTCTGACTGACTGCTGTCATGTCAGGGTGTATGTCAACCAGATGTGGGCCAGGTCTGGCAATGATAGTGCTATTTATTTTCCTATTTTCCTATTTTAGTTAGAGGACCCAAATGCCATGTTGCAATACTATACTGCTATGGTAGCCAACTTTTCAAATGCAGATTTGACAGGTTTGTGAGTGTACACTTCATCCAAAACCTAGTGAGGGTTTACTTATGTTTACCGCTGGGTTCCTGTAGCTCAGGAGGTAGAGCGGGTTATCGACTGATCAGAAGGTTAGTGGTTCGATCCCTGGCTCCTCCAGGCTGCATGTCAAGAGTGTGAATGCGTATGAATGTACAGAGTTGGCCGTTGGTGATATTAAAGTCCTGTTTGTGGCACATTAGTATATGTGAGGGGGCAAACTCCTCAAGATGAATGGTGGCCATCTTGGATGCAACTTATGTTTTTTTTCTATAGGAAGAGGGCCATGTGACACATCAAACTTATTGGTAATGTCACAAGAAAAACAATGGTGTGCTTGGCTTCAACGTAACTTTATTCTTTCATGAGTTATTTACAAGTTAAGGAGCACGTGAGGAGCAGATCAAAATTGTGTTGAT